CTCATTCAGTCAATGTGAAATATAGTGATGATGAAAATGAGGAAGATGGTGATGACAACTTTGACAAGATGTTCTGGAGAATGGATATGAAGAGCATGAAGAAGTTTTTTGTTTCCTTAACAAGTATGAAAACTATGAAAACCAAGAGCTTGAGGCTAACTCCAGAAGTCCTCAAAGAACGCAAAAAGCTGGAAACTGCAATCACAGGCCTGCAACCACAGATCCGAGCTGGTTTATCTAAACTGGATGAAATCAAAAGGACCCAACAAATAATTCAGGAGCACAAAGCAGAAATCAATACAAATAAAAACTTTGAATTTGATGTAGAGGTGACAAAGCCAGTTCAGATTAGTATAAAAGGATCTGGACAGTATATAACCAACTGTCAGCAGTGTTTTGTCACCTGCCACTTCCCTTGTACTATTTCAGATGATAAGGATAAGACACGTTGTTCTGCCATGAACTCCAAAGGCAACTGCACAGTGTGTGCTGGCAAATGTCGCTGGTATGTGCATTTTAACCAGAAGTATAAATGGGAATATAAAAAGGTGACAGAGAAGAGAACATCTGAAGAGCTTAAAGCAAAGTATGAGCACGCATTTGGTAAGAAAATGTCAGCTGAAGAAATAATTAAAACACAAGAGGAAGAAATTCGGTATCTTCAAGATATAGTACTGCAACTAATGGAAACATCACAAAGGTGTTTAGCTCGACTACAGGAAATCGCTTTAAAGCCCAACCCACTTTCCACACCAGAATACATTGATTTGCTGATTAAGAGTGAAAAGGCAGAAGCTAAACCTGGATTCCTGCAGCGAATTCAGTCACTTGAAGCTATGAGAGAACAAGCAGTGATCATACAAAAGGTCATCAATAACGAAGAACTTTCACCATCCGAGGCAAGGATGTATAAGGCAAAAACAGAAAGACAAGAACAAAAGGCATTGTTTGGTAAGGTAATCAAAGGCTTCGTATCCTTCTTCACAAAGTGAAAAAGTATGATTTTCAAACATTGCAATCATGAATGATATTTGAGTGAAAATAGAATTTCAAAAGACAAGAAAATTATAGCTGCCACATCTTTCATTGATTCCTCAATTCTATACTGCTGCTTACGTTATAAAGTTATGCAAGGCATATTGTCTTTTGTGCTAAAATAGTTTCAGTTATACTAATAGTAAAAGCCCTGCTGTTTTGGTGAACAACTGAATGGAAAATTAATTTATTTATATGGGCACCTGAACCAAAAATCATCCCATTCTTAATGAGGGAAGCAGGCTTGGATTTCCTTTTAAGCAATCACTGATAGTCATAAATCAGAATCCTTACAATTGAGTTATGGTGTGGGGGTGGGGCTGTTTGAGTTTATTTTTTGTTTGTGATATCTTGGGAATGTGAAAACCAAAACGTTAATTTGTCAGAAGAATTTGTATGTAGTGGGTGTGTTTTTGTTTTTTAATTTGTGTCTCTTGACAGCTGAACTTAATGTAGTAATGTTGTATTGAATTTAATTGGATAGGACATGTACCTTAATCTATATCAGTGTGATAGTCATTCGATATACTTAAATGTTTTCAGTACAATAAAAATGAATGCTGACTGAATGGTGCTGTGTACAAGAAATTACTGTCTCTTAAAATGGATTTTAAACTATGATTTTACTTATCAGTATTTTTCATCCATCTTCCACACCCCAGACTGGAATACCAGTTCAACACAAGGCTCACCGATATTCACTTTCATACATCATGCTTTGACTCGACAGACAGGAATGTTTTCAAAACTGCTACTAGCAGCTTGGATGAATACACGGACACTGTAACATCATACGGAAGCTTCTGCGAGGACTCTTGCATTCACAAAAAGTCTGTTGTCAGATATAACAATGACAAACCATGGTTTACAGCTGAACTCAGGCAGCTTCTTAAGACAAAAGATGAAGCCTACAGGAGTGGTGACAAAAACCTGTTCAAAACTAAAAAGCTGGAAAACCAGTTCTCAACAAACAAGCCATCTACAGTCTGGAAAGGAATGCAGACATTAACCAACTACAAAAATAAAAATGCCACCCAGCTACTAGACCAGTGATTCCCAACTGGTGGGTCGTGACCCAAAAGTGGGTCGCAAACCCGTTTTCAGTGGGTCGCTGGCCTTTGTCGGGGCAAAAAAAATGTTGAGAAAAAATTAACTGTCGTCTGTTCACACTCCTTAACAGTAGGTGGTGATAATGCCCTGTAATGCGAGTTGACAACCGCTGTTTCACACAATAGAAGAAGACCCGCAAATTTTGTTTACATATGCTGATTGAGTATGATGAAATGCAGGTACGACACAGAATATATCAGATATGGATTTTCTTATATTGACGACAAAGGAGGACAAAAACCTCAGTGTGTTTTGTGCAGCGAGGTGTTGACATGTGGCTTTCGAGGGGAAAGGTACTGTCCCGTTTTTATAAACTACGAGCTGAAATCGCAGCTTTTCTTGCTCAGAACAATTCGCCTCTTGCCAACCTGTTTAGCAACAGTGTACGTGAGGCTCGCACACCTCGCTTACCTCGCTGATGTGTTTGAACAATTAAACACATTAAATGTGTCTGTGCAGGGGAGAGGGCACAACATTTTTGAACAGAATGACAAATTCAATTAGACTTTGAGACTCTTGTCAGGAGCAAAAAACATTCCCCCATTAATTCTCCCATTAATTCCTCCAAACTCAGGTCTAAGGTGTCAGTGTTACACCTAAGGTTGAAGTGAGTGTTGCTTAATTTTCTTCAAAGCACAATGTTTTCAGCATTTACCTGCTGATAAGGTAATCAGAAGAAAGTTTAATTTGGTATACTTGAATCCTTTTGAACTTCACTCTTTGTCTAATTTATTTCTCTTTGTTAAAAAAAAAAAACGGTTAATGAAGAAACTGGATTTTTTCCATAGTTGTCATATTTTCAGTGAGTGAGGATTCTCTGGTAAGCACTGTCGAGTGTTAAAAACAGTTACTGAAGAGGTTTTAACATTAAATACTACTGAAGAGTTTTGGTTTTAATTCAAATGCAGCTAATTGAGTGTAAAAGGGAACGTTCCCCCCTCTAGCATCGCCAAATGCTGCTCATTTCGGTTTATCATTAATTATCAGATTTTTTGTTTATTTTACTACCTCAGGTTCAAACTGCACCATCTTTACATTCAATAAATTTGAGAAGTTGGTGGGTCCCAAAGCCAGACCAGTTGAGAACCACTGTACTAGACAACCATCAACTGCCCAATACATTAAATGAATTCTACTGCAGGTTTGAAAAGCCACATTCACACATCATGCAGCCCTCACCTTCACAGCCCTCGCCTTCACGGCCCTCGCCTTCACAGCCCTCACCTTTTCAATGTCCTTCTTCACACCTGGGTTCCTTCACCCCCCCCCACGTCCAGCCACCTCTCCATGAGAATCAGTGACAGAGATGTAAACAAGATCTTCAGGAGTCAGAATACAAGGAAAGCTCCTGGTCCAGACTCTGTCTCCCCAGCCACTCTGAAGCACTGTGCAGATCAACTGTCACCTGTCTTCACAAATATTTTCAACCAGTCACTGGATCTTTGTGTTGTTCCAGCCTGTTTTAAATCATCCATAATAACACCTGTTCCGAAGAAACCCAGAGTCTCTTGCCTCAATGACTACAGACCAGTGGCTCTCACATCTGTGGTTATGAAGGCTTTTGCTTCAAACTGATGTTGAGATGGATAGCCATGCAACTGAGATGAATAGCACAGTCCAAAGTCATTGAGCCATGAACGCTTCCCGTTCCTCAAATAAGGACTTAGTAAAATCACTTCTCCCCAAATTCCTTTATTCTGAGCCTCCACAAACATGGCCGCCCTTGCCCTTATATAGGCTCTTGCTCCTTATATTCCTCTAGGACAGGGGTCTCCAACTCCGGTCCTGGAGAGCTACTATCCAGTAGGTTTTCTGTCCCACTTGGCTTCTGATGAGCTGCACCTGTTTCTGGTATTTACCTGAGAACAGGTGTGGCTCATCAGAAGCCGGGTATGATAGAAAACCTACTGGATGGTAGCTCTCCAGGACTGGAGTTGGAGACCCCTGCTCTAGGAAATTATACTGACCCCTAGAGGACAGTTATGCAGCATAACAAAAAGAAAAAAGCAACTATGCTCAAATATATTATGTACATTTACATTAATGTCTACCAGAGGGCCATGGTCTGCCAGTTTCTTCACATACTGTACGCTCTGGCATGGCCTGTTTCCAACAGCTAGTATAATAAACACATTTACTGTTCTCCAGAAAAGGAACATATAAGTATGTTGATATTTAGCTTAAAAAAAATTATGTGAAGTTGAGAAAATGGTGCAATTCCTGTAACTCAATGTGATTAAAAGTGCACATACATGTATTTCGACTGGGTACTGTGGTTCTACACGTTGATTAAAAAGGACAAATTTCAAGTTACACTGTGTTAGAAGAGGGGACCCAGCCACCCAGACCTTCTGCACAGCAGGGATTGAAAACTGTGTGAATTGAGGATTCACAATTAAGCTGCAATGAAAATCATAGAGGTAAGCAAAGGATGGATATGTGTGCCTATGTGTGATGTATATGGCTGTGTGCCTATGGGTCTGTGTACCTTGTTTAGCTACACTTGTGAGGACCAAAAGACCTCACAAGAATTCACATCCTGAAAAAACGATGAATAGTGAGGTCCGCAGCCAGACCTCACTACTTCATACTTAACTTAATAATAATATATGAATGCAATCAAAAATAAAAAATGCCAAAAGTCTTGTATTTTGTTTGGCTACTTTTGCTTAAGGTTATGGCTGGTTAGGGGTTCAGGGTGTCGGGACGTGCCTAGGTGCTAGTTCAAAGCCCATTTCCAGCAGAACTGTCACATCTCCATCGTGAAAGTATTCAGCATATCAGAGAAAGAGTGTTTGGCAGTAGTATGAGCTGTTGAAAAGTGCAGACCCTATTAAGAAGGCAGACATTTATCAGTAATAACAGATCATGTGTGCATCACTGATATTCCACTTGACCAGCAGAGGGCAGATGTATTGCAATAAGCACAAATGCAAGCAGTGCAGTGAAATGGGTAAACTTTTATGAATAGTTCAAATTTTTTTTTCTATAATTAATGCTTATAGTATTGGTGCTAGAAATACGAACATGCAGGATCACGGACAGTCCGGCACTACGGCACGCGAATATCTTTATGAAGTAAAAACCAGCCTTGAGCTACACCTGTGACACAGACGAGAGGGCAGAAGCAACACGACTGGCTAAAATGTTGCTGGCATTCATTGTTATGTAAACACAATTTGCCATTATCGAGGTCAGAAATAGATGATTGAGGTTATGCCCATATATCATCGATAACGCAGTTATCGTGACAGGACCAGGTCCCTGTGCTAACCCAGTTCTGAATCCATGCACATCCTCTATGTTCCCTCATGTTTGTTACCAGTCCAAGGTAACGATGAGAAACAGAGAAAGGCCCTTAACCCCCCAGCTCCAGGGGGCGCCACACCTTGGCTGACCATGTTCTGTGACCCCTAATCTATGGAGAGCAAGATGGGGTAGGCAGAGAGAAGAATTGGAATGTACCTGTACCTGTGAAAATGGCAAATAAAGGATTATTATTGTTATTATTATTATCTCTCCGTAAGAGCAGATCGTGAAGACATTTTAATCGTTCAACCCTAATTATTAGTCCCCTCATGGTGTCTTTTGTTTTAAGTGTTTGGCACTTTGTCTTTAATGAATTGTCACGATCTGAAAGCTGCATTCTGGACACCCCCCCCCCCCCCCCCCCCATCATAATGCCAGTTATGTGGTTGCACAGACAAAAATCAGAAGTGCACACACTGCAACAATGCACTACAAGAACCTCTGATTGTCACACAATAACAATGTTCAGAAAAGGAAAATTGAGGGATGTTGCAAAGCATTTAGGAAGTTGGTTGGCCAGAGTGAAATCTTCCGCCGCAGAACCATGAACAGGTTTCTCTGTATTGACACCAGCCATACTGTCAACAAAAAAATGTAACAATGTTCAATCCACAGAGAATCCATGCAGGTTATTCAGAATAGTGACCCTTTACACGTAAATATGACCTTAATGAATATTTTGCACTTAAATATGGACCTGACCATGAGTAAATCTAAACTGGGCAAAAGGGTGAATTTTAGGCCCCTGGTAGATTGGTACCAGGACAACAACCTCTCCCTTAATGTCAGTAAGTAGCTGGTCACCGATTCCAGGACGTCGAAGGAAGACATCGCCCTCATTTACAGAGAAGCTGTGAAGAGGGGTAGCAGTCGTGAGTTACTGGTAGTCAACAACACAGACAGCATTTGCAGCGATCAAGAAGGGAGACCAATGTCTTAATGTTCTCAGTTGACTTTGGTTTGAACTGCTCAGGCCATCAGCAGGATCTTCTCCTCCTTCAAGATATTTTGACCACACACTGTAGCGCAAAGGCAGGCAGCATCGATAAAGACTCCATTCACCCTGCACAGCCACATCTCTCCCTCCTCCCTTCTGGCAAACAGCAGAGAAGCATCAGCACCCAAACCACCAGGCACAGATATAGTTTCTGTCTGTCAGTCAAAAGGCGATGCAACAGATGCTGATTATATGAAGCACTAAATAAACTGCAGCTGATTTCCACACTGTATTTGTCATCACTATTCTCACTGGATGGCTCTAGGGGTTAATACTTTTTATCGGGGTTGGAAAGTTGCTGGTTCCCCTTGCTAGTCTTCAATTGTATGTCGCTTTGGACCAAACTGTCTGATAAATAATTTTTTTTTAATTTTTATTGTGTAGTGCTAGTATCTGCATTATTCATGCTGTACATGACTAATGTTCAATGCATTTTTACTTGCTTGCCATTTGTCGTTATCCTTTGTTAACTGTCTGTAGGAGGTATGTGAAACTGAAAACTTGAAACAGTTTTCATGTTGTACAAATAAGGTAAAAATGACTAACAAAAAATATATAGTGAAGTTTAAAAGAAGTCAGTTACGTGCTCTGAAAATATATCTCATCAG